TATAACTATTAGTGGTTTAATAAAAGTTAATATCTCAAAGCCGGTTTTATATCTAACAAATCAGTTATACATTGATTTTGATGTCCATTGCATAGGTATCCATTTTTTGTTATAAATCTGCTTTTACTTGTATATAAATATACACGCATGAGGCATTGTTTGAATATACTAATACTATTATACAATATAGTTATAATACAATTAATACCTGCCTATAAATTTCATTCTAATCTTAATTCTGACTTAAATATTGTATTAGATTTTATTGATAAATTATATCGGCGTGTGAATACTGTTAATAACAGTTAATAATATATTATAATAACTACATTATAACATTATTATATAATATAATTATTAATTACTATGACTTATTATTTAGTTTTAGTTGTAAAATGCTGTTTAGTATTCTTATGCATTTTATYATTATTATTATATTCATATTATGATAATTATTGACAAAATAGAATTTGTCGTTTGTCATGACTCATGAATCACAATATTAATGTAAACCTTATGTTAAATAACTAATTTATTAACAATGTACCGGAATTAGTAAGTAAATAATACACAAGATCGCGCTAAATATCTTCCCATAGCGTGAGAAGGTCAGTGCTTCACTTATCACCCGTTTGAGGGTCCTCACTAAAAAAAAAAATAGTAAGTARTAATAGTTCACTACACAGAATATTAATATTAATCCGTGATCACTAATCCTGTGGTAGAATGGTAGATAGGTACCAATACCAAATACTTTGAAGTATTAATTAATACATTGTAGATACTTATTGAGAAGATTGATAATGTCGTAAGTTGAACGTCTATTATTTATTGCACCCTATACGTCGGGGCTGTATACTGTGTTTGTAATTGCTAATTATTRTCTCTAAAATAAATAATTACGAACATCGAGGCAGTAGTAGGTATTGAAAATAAATACTGTGGTTATCATTGCTGAAAGGACATTTTGTATAAAGATTGGAAAACGCCTCATCAAAATCAAAGGTAAGCAAATGTCCTTCAATACTGATTACTTTAAAATTGCAATACCCAGACGATTACTATAACAGTTTAAGCTGTTATGAACAATAATATTGATGTATTTATTATAATTGTTTAGACAAATCATGAGGAACAAAAAAGACCTTCACGTCGCTGCATGTATCAGTGAGTTAGATAAGAAGATAGAAATACCAGACAAACTAAAAAATTTGGATGTATTATCGTACGTATGAACTAATAATTAAAAACTAACATTTGAATTTAACAATAATATTAATTTATTATAGACTAAACAAAAAAGCTGGAATGTTGTTTGAAAAAGCCATGACTGCAAATAATGAAAATGATGAAGAAGTTGTGTATATTTATTTAATGAAATATTGTCAAATTCTGCAAGTTATGAAAAAAACTTTTACAGATGATAAAAATTACATCTCTCTTATGTACAAAGATAATTTAAAAAAATCTATTAAAATGCTGACCTATGTTAAAGAAAGTTTGGAAAAAAGGTAAATTTTTCTGTTGTTAATCTCAGTGTGAAAATTCAAATTACAAAAAAAATAAATACTCTTCTTTAAAATAGTTATTTGATCAATCATTTATTATACATCTATGGCCTTATGTTGTAACAAAATGTCTGTTACACTTTTTCACAATATTTCTTTATATTTCTTTATCTATATATATATATATATACATATGTATGTTTGTATAATTAAAACATATCCTGACTAAATGACTGATCAATGAAGAGATTAAACTATAGTATATATAATATTATTTTCTAAAAGTACATTTTCCAGAATAATATTTTCAGCTAAGCATTTTAAATTATAGAATCAAATGAATATACACATTATTCTTAAACCAAATTTAAATATTATGTTATAATTCCAATAAGAATATTTTTAATATTAATTACTTTTATCAATTACCTACCTAGGAGCTACTTATGATTTAGTGTTATTCATAATGTTGTGACATTTATGATCTTAATATCAATCCATAAATAATAAAATTAAAGGTTTTTTATAAATTAATTTATCATAGAGTAGACTCGGTATTTAATTTATGTACAACCTATGTGAAAGGTGTACTGCAGGTCTCCTCAAAACATTATTTTTAAACACTAACTATTGAACATTTTTAATAACTATGGAATTTAATTAGGTATGTTGGCCATTTGGTAATTAAACTTAWTTTAAATTTAGATAATTTAAAGAAATATATTTAACCTTTAAATTATATATAAACTAATAATCAAATTATTATAGGTATAGCGAAAAAACAAAAGAAGAAAACAATAATAAATTGCTTAACAATTCTAATCAAAACAGAAAACGTTTTGAGGAAAAATTAAATTTTGAGTTTGAAAGTACTATAACTAATGAAAATTTATTATATCTGTTGGACAATACAGATAAAAAAAAGATTTGTTTGCTTGATACAAGACCATCAGATATCTTTAATAAAAATAAAATTATTTCCTGTGATGTAATTAACATACCAAAAGAGAACTTAGTTCCAGGGTAAAAAAAAACATTGTTGACCCCATTATAATATAAAAACATTATATTAACCAAAACCAATTATAATTTTTAGCTTAACAGCTGCGATTTTAACAACCAAATTAGAAGATCAGTTTAAAGAAATATGGATGAATAGACACAATTATAATTATATTGTAATACTAGACCAAGGGACGGAAGATATAGATGATGATCAAAGATTACTTAATCTCAAAAATGCCTTACTTAAATGGGATCCAACTCATAATAATAGCAAAAAATTAAAGTTTCTCAAGGGAGGTTATGAAGATTTTAATCACTTATGTCCATGGAATACTACTCAAAATAACATAATAAAATCAAATAAAGATGTGGAACCTCTTTCAGATATAGAATTAGATCCAGAATCTGAATTTGAAAAAGTTGAAAGTATTGAATATTAATAATATTTATTTTAACTCAGCGTAATATATATATATATATATATTTTTTTTTTTTATAATTAGATAAGCAGATTCAATATCCATCTTTAAGTACCGTACAAAATGATTTAACTAAATTAAAATTAAAATCGACTTTGTTTAATGGTTTAACAACAGATCTTAAACCAAAGTTGGATCATAGAGACAATTATTCCAGTGAAGAAGATATGGATTCTCAGGAATTAGCCCATACCCCAATTAACAAGCCACAATTACCCATTTTTGATAGATCTACAAAGGTATTAAATATCTAAATTATTAATTAAGACAAAATATATATAATAAAACCACCAATGTAAACAAGTATTTTATACTTTTCAGCCACCTGTTAAAATTAATAAATTTATGAACCCAGAACTCATTAAACCATTGTACAAAAATAATGATGAATTAGAYGACGAAAATAATGAAGTATTAAGATTTTTAAAACATGTTTTTAGAATACAGATTAATAAATTATTTTAACTTCTATTTGTTTCTATAGTTACCAAATAATATTGAACAACTAGAAAATAGAAGATTATCCCTAGAAAATAGCTTTTTGGAAAATGTTGATTCTTATGTAAACGAATACAAAAATCAAGTACTATGATTGATATTGTATTTTTAGCTTAAATGTTATATTGATTGTATAATACTAATTATTTATTTTTAGGACATAGATTTAAATTCAATTCCACATGTAGACCGTTCCACCAAACCGTCAGATGATCTGCTAATAGTTTCTAGAACAAAAATCATTGTAAGATATTATTTTTATGTTTTTAATCCACCATAGTCAAAATAACTTGAACAATTTATTAATTTAGTTACTGAGATATAATATAGGGTTAGTCCTTTTAATGTATATCACTCATTACTGTAGAATCTCAATAATCCGACATATCAAATGCGGGTACTGTCAGACTCACCAAAAACGGATTAATGGGGGTTCACATAAAAACATATTTTTACTTAATGAATTTTATATTTTTAATTATATTATAAAATGAATACTCTTAATGTATTTTATTAAATCATGTCAGTTATATGTACATACATACTAATTTATTACACAGTGCGTTAAATTAATCTTTTGATGGGACAGGCTTAATAAAAATTTTATTATAGTATTCTTCTTTGATAGTAATTTTATGATAATTTGCCAGATAAATATTGGTTGATATTGCCTGATTACTGGACTTACCAGATTATCGAACGGCCAGTTTACCGAGTTTCTACTGTATTTTTATTCAGATGTTCTCAAACTGTAGTTAGACTAGAGAAAGAAAAATAAAAATCATTTTTTGGATTATTATTAGATAATTTAATAAAAATGCAGTT